GAGGGGAGAGACAGGGAGAGAGTGAGTGAGTGAGGGAGGGAGAGCGGGCGGGAGGGACGGGCACGGATGGAGAAAGTAGAAATAGAGCTCAGAAACACTGTGCCAGACCTGAACGACGGCTACGTGAAGGACGTGGTGGGAGGGAGCATCGCCGGCTCCAAAATCAGCCTTACAGCGGATGCTGACACTGAAGAGCAATCCAGAGCACTGTCATGTGGACAGAAACCCACACGACGTGCACATCCACTTGGCCTGCAGCGCGCACAAGCTTGGCCTTGCCCTGGACGGTTTGGGGGGGGTTGGCCGACAGGGTGGCTCGACATGGGGGTGGCCGGCTAAGCCTCAAACCCGTGGCCAGTGCCCACGCTGCATGGCAGCAGCGCCGGTTGGCCCTTCCCTGACCCGCGGCCCCAGCACTCAGTGCCTCCCAAGCCGCGAGCACCTCCAGCACCACCAATGCCACCAAGCTCCGCCCTGCTACCCACGCGTCCATCCCCGACACCACAACACTCCACGCTCCCTCCCGGACCGCCACCGATGGCTCCACTCATGGGCCCAGCACCACCGCACCCATGGCGAGGACATTTGGAGGCAACTCGGAGTCTAGCAGAGGCCTGGGCAGGCAGTGACAGCGTCAAAGCATTTTGGCCACGATCCACTGATAACTCTCGTTTTTGGTTAGATCTTGGCAGGCGGAAATCATCGTCCAGCAGCTCTGCCTGGCGCGGAGCCACCGCCTCTGAGGTGGGGGATGTGGGGCATGGGGAATGTTAGGGATTTTGTGGGCATTCCGCAGTACATGTTTGCATTTGCATCTTTGATGCTACACCAGTAAACACTTAGTAAACACAGCATGTGCGATAAGAAAACACAATGATCGATTTGATCACGTGAATGCCCAGCGCCGTGATTTTTTACAGCTTGCGCGTGCCTGCTCTTCAGGTAGTGCGTCCTCATACACTCGCTTCGCCCATCCACATTGCTACGAGTGATTAGGGCACAATTGGTTGCCCTTCGGAGACTTCGAGCTGTAAGAAGACCTCCGTCGCCGAATTCCCAACATCACTACCCAGTAGGATCCGAACCAAACATCCCGTCGTGAGAAAAAATGGCTTCAAGCGCTCTCTGCGTTGGGACATGCGTGATTGCCCCATATCACCCCCGCAACCTTGCCGCTTGGCTCAGTTTGCGGCGTCGCCCTTCAGCTGGCCGGGAGCTGCAGGGCGAGACCATGCCAGAGCCCCAGTAAAGCGGGAGCTGTTATGCATTCATCGCGTGGCCCACAAGGGAATTTTTAGTCTCCCAGGGCCATGTTGCAATCAAACACGACGCGCTTTGCTTGGGACTACGGTGGGCCGGAGTTCGACCCATGACCAACGCCCTGAACCTCAAAACATCCTAGGCCTCAAACAAACCCGGACCCCGGAAACTCAGGTCCCGGCATCGGCCGAAGCTGCCCCGAGGTCGCAGGCTTGGGCGTTATATCATGATTGCAAGCGCTTCTCTTGAAAATCGTAGATATGAGATTGGGATACTTGTTCATGAGTGCATGTGAGGGCCCGTGTTTTCAAAAATGCAGAGAGTTGGAGTCGGAGTTCAGAAAACCCTCAAGCTTCACAGAAGCCTGATGTCAAGGGGAGCCGGCCGTTTGTTGCAGGCCCTTGAAAGGCCCGGCATGGGCATGTTTGTCCTTCTGGGCTTGAGATTTGAGGGCTCGAGGTTTTGATAGTCTGAGTTTTTAGACCTGCTAACTTGCATGTTGAGACGACCAATTCCTCGGTGATCTGAGGGTTTGGGGATTTGCAGGGTTTGAGGGCTCTGACATTGCCGAGGCAGGCTTTCGACAAGAGACTGGTCCCAGGATAGTCATAAAATTAAATGCTATAAGTCCCGGAGCTTGTGCATGCATGCTGGGCTAGGGGACTGCGTCCATTCCATGTGCCAGCAGTTTAAATCTCCTCGTGTCGCCGGACATCGAAGGTCTGGCAGCGGTGGAAGTGCAACTGGAGTGTGGTCATGGAACACTTGGCCTGGAGCTCGAGAAACGGAACGAGATGCCGCCCGTATAAGGGATCCTTCAGGCCTTGCAAGGATTTCTGCAGGATTGCCCAGTGCGCAAGCTTCCAGTGCTTCCCAAGTACCCCAGCATGATGTTGTCTGGCCTGGAGCCTTGCCACGTGACCGCTGAGGCAGGTTTCCAGTGGGCCGGCGAGCGATGCAACTTGATGGGCTCAGCCAAATTGAAGAAGCTGGTGGATGCCTACATGTGGGAGAGGCTATGGAGGTTTGCATTGCCCAGTGTGAGAAGAAGGCGGATATTCTCGTTTTCAACTTCGACTCGGACCTCTCCGACGGGCAATCGGCCATGAGCAAGTTCATGAGGCCTTGCGTCACAGAGCCAGCCGTGGCCAAGCTGCCCTTCATGATCGACTCCTGCAAGTGGCCCCTGGTCGAAGAGGTCCTCAAATGCGTGCAGGGCAAGTGCATCGTGAATTGAATTCACTGCAGGTCGGCGAGGAAGAGTGTCTTCGTCAGGCGAAGCTTTGCATGCGCTATGGCGCAGCCGTGGTCATCATGGCTTTCGATGAGAAGGGTCAGGCCCTGTCAGGTGGCCACCTTCGAGGACAAGGTTCGCATCTGCCAGCGCAGCTACAAGTGCCTGCGCGAGAACATTGACTTCTCGCCAGAGGACATGATCTTCGATTGCAACGTGCTGACCATCGCCACCGGACTGCCGGAGCACAACTCCTATGATGGCATCGACTTCATCAATGCCGTGGCGGAGATAAAGCGCGCCTGCCCATTCGTCTCCTTCTCTGGAGGCTTGAGCAACCTGTCTTTCTCCTTCCGCGGCCTGAACTCTCTGCGGGATGCCATGCGCAGCGTGTTCCTCTACCACGCAGTGCCCAAAGGTCTGAACATGTCCATCGTGAACCCAGGAGGCCGGGTGAAGCTGCCGCGCGGGGCTTCTTGGACCGTCTCACAGTGTCGAAAGGCCTTCCCCGCTACACGGACATCGACGAGAACACACCCAAGCTGGTAGAAGAGGCGCGCGGCTCCTTGTCTGGCCTTCAACCCGGCTGATCTCAGCTGGCTCGATCATTCCTGCCTGATTTTGATTTGCAGGTGATTCTGAACCAGTCTGCAGATGGCAGGCATGCAGGAAGCCTAAAGATCCTCCTTTGCTGTAGCGCGAGAGGTCCGTCATGTCCTGTGCAGAGGTCGAGCGCTTCCTGGAGTACGCCGAGGCCACCTCCGTGCTGTGAGTCTGAAGAGGATTGAAGAGGTCTCAACATATCTCCGTTTTCGCAGTGGCGTAGTACATCGTAGCAGCGTGGCCCAGAGGCAGTCCTCAAGCCTGCCCCGGCTGCAGGTGCTGCTCCGGATGGCGCTCCCGCCAAGGCGCAGTTCGCAAGTCTCAAGTCGCCTCGCAGTCGCCGACATCATCCGACCCGAGACAGGATGCCTGGCGAAGCGGCATTTAAACAAAACAGAGCGTTTGCACTACGGGAGGTGGCCTCGGCAAAGACGCCATGTCGCCGTGTGCATGCCCCTTGGCCCGTGGCCTGACCCAATGTAGTACGGGCCAAAAAGCCGAGGAGGTCCGCTCTTGAAGCTTTGCCCCGGCTGCCACTGTGCCTGAACTGCGAAAGGCCCGGGCAGAATTGCAAGTCCCGCTGTGTGTCATCGAGGGGCCGTTGATGGAAGGCTCTCGTGCAGCAGAGATCCGCAAAAGGAGGGGAGCTCAACCCGGGAGTAGTATTTGGTAGGGCAAGGGCATCATCGGCGACCTTTTCGGATCCGAAAAGATGTTCTTGCCACAGGCCTGTGGCTTTTGCTTCACACTTACCTTTGCCAATCACTCTCCGCCTTGCAGGTCATCAAGAGCGCACGAGTCATGAAGAAGGCCAAAATTCGAGTCTGCAGTGCATCCTCGCCTTCCCCGTCGGCTGGCAGATGAGGCTAGATATGCTGACAGGCCGCTACCGGACCCCCTTCATGGAAGAGGAAAGGCGTGCAGCCGTTCTCGCCTGAGATGGGAGTCGGGCAAAGGGTTCCCGTTTCCAGAGGCCCTCGCTGCCGGCGAGGACCCTGATCAGCCCAAGTACAACGGCGTTGTGCTGATGGCCAGCCGTGTCTTTACATCCTCCTGTTCGACATTGCGCCCTATGTGGGTCGGCTTGATCAGTCTGAAAGCTTTCTTGACGTTGACGCTCTCTGTCTGAGATTGACTTTCAACCATCATGCTTCGTGATGAGTTGTGTGACATTGTGCAAAACTCAGAGAAGCAACTCAAACAGGGCAACCACGAGGCAGGAGGAAAAGTGCGAACGCCATCATGCATTGTAATGCTGAGCCGCCACAAAGAGGCAGATCATATTTTAGGTGTGTTGTCGTAGGTTTGTCTGTCTTTTTGCTTGCGGCTTCTTGGCTTCCGGCTGTCGCGGCTTCCAGGCTTTTCAGCTTATTCGCTTCTGGGCTTTCTGGCTTCTCCTGCTTCTTGGCTTCTCCCCCACCGCCGCCTTGTTTAAGCCATCCATGATTGCGATGAAAAAGTCATGTCATCAGCATGGGGCTTTAACCCCTCAATTCCCCGTTGTTGTAAGGAGGTCCATGCTTGCAAGAAAAACAAGCATCATGTCATCACCTTGTTTGTAGTGAGGGTTGTGCGGCTCATATTTTTCGCAAATGGGGGTAATCAAAAATTATCATCACCACGTTTGCAGTAGGAGAAGGCTGTCCGGATCATGGTGGTCGCCATCCACGCTTACAGTAAGAACACATGTCACCACCATGCGGTGCGGATCATTTTGTTTGCAAAAGGGGTCAGGGGGGGCTGCGCTCCCCCCCCCCGGTTCTTTTAAAGCCATCCATGCTAACATCCATGCCTGTTGTAAAAGACCATGTCATCGCCATGGTTGCAGTAGGGGAAGGCTGTGCGGATGATTTTGTCTGCAAAGGGGATCGCCAACTTGCCGTGGACTGACGCCGCAAAAAGATTGGAGCAAGACGAGCCGACGAGCCCAGGTCCACAGTTCGCAGAATCCGATGGTGAGCGCGGTGTTTGCTTGACTGAGGAGCGTCCGCCAACTCTACAGAATGTGCGTGGTGTGATCGGTCGCGCGGCTAGTCTCAGCAGTCAATTCTCTCTGTGGTACCACGTGGTGGAAGCAAGCACAGCTCGCTTTGCGCCCTTTGTTTAGGACTACTTCGGTGTCTCCCAGATTGCCACGATCAGACCTACGAATCTGGAGTTCTATCGAACTCCTCGCTAGTGAAAGACTAGGAGCGGCTCTGAGTCAATCCGCCCCGCGATCCTGAATCTGACGCACTGAGTATTCATGATTCAGAATGTGACATGTTGGTGTTTCTGAGGCCTTTATATCATTTGGCTTAGGCCTAGTTTCAGGATCCAGAGCAGGCTAAGCATCTTCTGTGTGGCAGCCTTATTCGTGAAAGCTACGGGAAAGTGCCATAGCTCAAGCAGCCGATCCGGCCTGGATACGCCCAAAAAATCGAAGATCTTCAGATTCAACCGATTGATTTACGCCCGAACTGCAGCTTTCATAGGATACCTGCTTCAGGGAACTGAGCGTCGGCTTCGTAAGTAGGGGAAATGTACCTGGGGCTGAGTACGTATAGCAAGAGTTACGGTATCCATATGCCTACTTGCCAAGTCTCTAGAACCCCGCCCAGAGTACGCGTGACAAGTAGCTGGGGGCTCAGGTTTAGCCTCCGAAATCTGGGCGGCCGGGGTGTTCGGGTTTAGGGTTCAAGGCTTAGGGTTGAGATGTTTCGATGTTGCCGTTTCTTGACTCTTAGCATTCATCCCACGAGTACTCTTGACGCCGCGCATCTTCCAGTCTAAGGCTCCCAAATCCCAGAGCTTAAGATCCCCAAACCCGAAACACCGACGACAGAGCGGGGATTGGGCTGCTTGATGAAAGTCTCGTCCGCTCCCATCCGTGGATGTTGGACCAAATTTAAAGCTCAGCAAGAAACATGCCGATGGCTCCTGATGCCGGCGATTCTGCGCACACAGCCCGCCCCACCAAATGACCAAAAACCGTACGGCCCATTTGACACGAGAATGCCTGCTGTCACGTACTCGTTTGTGCGATGCAGCATTCGGCTCGACGCTGCTGAATCATCTGTTTTTCGTCCGTCAGACTGCCGCCATGGAGGCCTTGCAGCAGGAGAACGCCGCCTTGAAGGCCAGCAGAAACACACGGCTCGTATCTCTCTGACGAGTCGTCTTGCTGCGCCGCAGGATGAGGTGATGAACCTGCGCAAGAAGCTGTGGCAAGCCGGCTAACGTCTCAAGTTTCTTCGCAGGCCCTCTGGACTCTAGCACTTGTTGCCTGCCAAGACGCGTGCAACGATTCGCTGATGGAATTTCAACTCCACCAGCAGCCACGCTCTCGAGCATTTGTTTGGCATCCTGTGGGAGAAAACGTCCTTGAGTGCGCTTCAGGCAACGCATCCGCTCCCTCGAGGAAGAATTGAAGGCGTTACTTTATTTCCGACCCATGCATTTCCGTGCCTTTGCCAATCCTGTGATCAGACATAAACCAACTGGTTCCGGGAGTATTCGTGAAATCGTCGTGGCTCGCTTTCAATTGAGCTTCCGCTCTCTTGAAAGCGGAACGTTGCAAAGCTGGGATGGGGCTGGGAATCTTGCCGAAATCGTCGTGGCTCGCTTTCAATTGAGCAGCCGCTCGCTTGAACGCGAAACGTTGCAAAGCTGGGATAGGGCTGGGAATCTCCTCGAAGTTGTTCGCTTTCAATTGAGCAGCCGCTCGCTTGAACGCGGAACGTGGCAACGCTGGGATGATCTCCACTCTTTTCGGCTGCTTTAGCGATTCACCCGCGCTGTCCTCGTGTGGCGCTGTGTGCATTTTCGTTCCGTCATCCCAGGCACCTAAGGAGGGAAACACTTGGACGGCTCTCGCTCACCCATCTAGATTGGCTACTACGATAGTTGGGGGGGGCCTCTTCTCGGAATTAGAGCTGGTGGGATGGGAAGTCTTGTGACGGGTTTCCTTTTGGTTTGGCAGTGGTGAAGTCATCTCATGGGGCGCCGGACGAGGAACACAACAGGACGGCCTGCGCCGGTGCTTCGCAGTATCGAAAGCCGACTCAAAATGGGAATCGTCGCTGCTGGTGGTAAGCGGGTTGCCTTCTCGAGTTACATTGGGTTTGGAGTGTTGGAGTGGTTCTCGGTGCAGTCTTCGTTGTGGTCTTTCCACTGCTTGGGGCTTAGGCTGGCATGATGATGTTGCCCATCTGGTAAGCTCCGGATTCCATAGCCGAGCTGCCTGTTTGTTCTTCATTCTGGATGGCGATGCAGTAGTTGATGTGTTTGCTCATGAGCTTCTGTGCCTCAGGAGGCTCGTGGCTCTGACAAGGTGCGAAAAGCTTGCTGGCATGCCGACTTGTCTGCAAGCACAAGGTCTGCAAAATCATCAAATCTTTATTCAGGTGGAATCCGTCCCGGTGGTATGCGGAACGTGGGCCAAGATCCAATGTTGACGGCCGCCTCATCGATTTTTGTTACAACTGGCAGTCTTGCTCAGGCCCAGCTCTACCTGGAGCATCGCAGCCGGAGCTGGAGTTGCGCGGTGCTTATGGGCCTGGGCCGTGTTTCAGACCCTGCAAGGCCATGATTACATCTGCTGGGTGGCATGCGTGTGTGTCTGTCTGGCTGTCTGTTTGTCTGTGACAGCCTGCCGACAGAGCTCCTTGCACGCCTGACGCCGATTGCGGGTAGAAGCGCGCGTCCATCGAACCAAGATTCGGCGCCTGTTCCTTTCGCCTGTAACAGGATGCTCAGCTGCTACTCGGTTTCTGTGCTTCTTGCTTTGCCCCAGTTGCTCAGGATGTAAGGAGCTTGCATGTGTGAGTGCTGCAATGGCTTGGGGACGTTGGGTCACAGGGGGGGGGGGGGTGCAGGCCGGAGAGACGGTATCCCGACTCGTATACGGAATCCTGTCTCATTGCTTGTTGGACCTCTGCACCCGCGCATGTTCTCGGCTTGCGAGACAACTTTACTTCTACACATTTTGCCACGCTTTTATAAACTTTGCTTGGCTGTTGTTTTTTGTCGTGTTGTGCTTGGTGATTCGGTGGCCGTCCGGTACTTTGCTCTCACGGCGCACAACATACAACTCGATTAGTTACCGAATAAGGCCAAAGTCTGTTTGGGTATTCAGCCCAGGTCTCTGAAGAAAATCCCCAAATAAAGTTTGAACACACCAAGAAGCCT